CTGAAGGTCATCAGGGTCCGGGTCTTGTCGTTGATCTTCTTTGTCTGAGTTGCAGCGTTTCTCATTGAATTGGGGTCGCCGTAAATCGTCATCGGTTTCAGACAGTATGGGCTCCTCATTTTGGCTTCTAGACTCTTGCTTCGTCGCGATTCGCTGAGCCTCGGCCAAGTTGTAGTAGGCCCCTTTCTTCTGGAGAAGGTCATCATGGGTACCCTGTTCGACAACATGTCCGTGGGACATAACCACGATGTTGTCCGCACTCTTGATAGTAGACAGTCGATGAGCAATGATCACGGTGGTTCGCCCCTGGGCAGCTTTGTCGAGTGCGGCTTGCACAACTCCCTCACTCTTCGTGTCGAGTGCAGATGTCGCTTCATCAAGTAGCAGGATCTTAGGATCGCTAACCATGGCCCTTGCAATAGCAATGCGTTGTTTCTGACCTCCTGATAGGAGGAACCCTCGTTCACCAATGTCGGTTTCGTAGCCCTCAGGAAGGGATATGATGAAGTCGTGGGCCTGGAAATCAACGAAGTCAGAACATCGTACCGTATATGGTATGAGCAGATAGGGTGTGTCTGAGGCAGGGCATCATGACATTCGCCTTACTTACGTTTGCCATCCGAGCGGCACGTTCGACCAGCTCACGAATTGCTTTTTCGGACTCATGCTCGTGCATTGTTCCAATCAAACCATGCTTGATATTGCCGAATATCGTAGTAGCGAATAAGGTCGGCTCTTGGCTCACCAGAGATATTTGTTGTCGCAACCAGCGTAGATTCAAGCCTTTGATATCATGGCCGTCGATGTAAACACATCCGCCGACAGGATCATAGAAACGTTCAATCAGTCCGATAATAGTGCTTTTCCCAGAGCCTGAAGCCCCAACAAGTGCAGTAGACTTGCCCGCGGGGATCAGTAAGTTCACATCCTCCATCACAGCAACCTCGGGGCGGGAAGGATATATGTGTCTGATATTTCTGAGTTCCAGTTTTCCTTGCAGTCCCTCCAGCTTCTGCCCCTCGATCGACATAGGGTCGAGAGGAGAGACACGATCAATTGTTGCGTAGATCTTGTTGGCTGCAGCGACAGCTGAGGCGATGGCCTGAATATTCGGTGTAATATTCCCGAGGGCAAAAGCCCCGATCATGATGGCCATTTGAATAGTGAGGATTTGCGCTAAGCCAACAGATCCATCCACCAGGAAGCGAGAGCCCATCCAGAAAGCCAGTCCGTAGTTGAGGTAGATGTATCTAACAGGTAAGGTCAGGACACTGGGCTGTTTGAGGTAATTCAAGAGACCGCGACTGAACGGCAGGATGTTGTGCCAGTGGCTGTACTTACAGAAAGAGAAAGCCAATCATTGAGCTGGTGGTGGCCTTGAGCTTAAATCCAGACTTCTCTGCTTCGATAAGATATCTATCGTAGCGTCGAGCCAGCTTCTCTTGGGTATGGAATGCAGTCGCATTTCGGATAGAGCTGATGACCTCTTCTGCAACCGTTCCTCCTTCAGCGAATTGGGCGAGGTATTTCTTGCTGAGCTTGGCAACAAACGAGCCCACGATGCCCAATGTAAGAACAATAGCAGCCACAGTTGAACACAGAATCAGCGTGAGCTTCCAGTACCTGATGAAGCCGATCACGAAAGCTGCCACAAAGGTGGCGACAGCCGTCAAGGTCAATCCAACTTTCTCTGATATACCTTCCTGGATAAGATTGGTGTCCGCTGTGATTCGTGTGGTGATCTCACCCGCGCCGAGTTCGTCGAAAAAAGCAATATTCTGCCTCAGAATGGCGGCCAAAAACTTCTCTCTGATCTTTGCTGTGATGTGCTCACCAGCGTACACGAAACCGACCGTCGCCAAGTACACCATCACAAACTCGCCAATAGCGAGGTAGAGGAAATACAGAGAGAATCTGCCAAGCTCGCTGGTAAATTGGCTCTCGGATATGTCGCCCAGAAGAAAGCTGCGGAAGGTGCCTGCAAGGCCCCCAAACAGGACGGTCATTAGAGGCATGAGTGCACCGCCGATGACTGCTGCGAGCGAGGCAATGACCAGAATGACCTTGTCATTCCTTGTCGCATAACGATACAACGTCATGTAATTGACCTTGGCGGCGGGCAGATCCAACTGTCTCTTGAGGATTACCTTCTCGTCCTGAGGCAGATGCTTGAACGGATCATCTTCCTCCTTCCTGTCTGCATCTGCCGGCGTTGAGTCGACTGGGTTCAAGGGAGGGTTGGCAGTCATGGCGCCTTCGCATGCCTGGATGGGGTCTTTCTGGTCTCCACGGTCGCGGCTCGGCATGGTGGGGTAGTCCCGCAATTGTTGAAGGGGCAGTTAAGCTATCTCCGGTGGCTCGTCAGAAGTGTGTGTTGGTCAAATATACCAGGAATGGAGTGAGGATAAAGCGAGAGGATCATTGGAGTATCCAGCTAAGCTTTGCGAGGCGAGGCTGAGCTGAATATTCGCGATTTTTACACCCCTGTTCGCCCCTGAGTTTCTTTGTTTACGCGCAGGGTGGGCTCGGATGTTACCGAATCGGGTAATGCCTGATTCTGCCCTTCAGACTGCGGACTCTAGACTCTGTAGTGCTCGTTAATAACAGCTTACCTCGTTGATGGTAATAAAGGAGCTATGCAGTATCCATATTCTCCGAATTTATCGCCTCCGTCAGTTCTCGCGTCTGTTCGGCGGCAACTACTAGTCTGTTTGAACCCTTTGATTTCCAAGCCCAGACCTCGCCACATCAATGCGGGTATCATTGTTGGAGGCGGCCTGGCGGGCCTCATGCTTGCAAGTGCATTGGAAAGGCGACTATTGATTTTGTATTGCTAGAGGCTCGAGGTCGATTTGACCCCCAAGTCGGAGCATCGATTGGACTGAATGCCGCCACAATGCGCATCCTGGATCAGCTAGGGGCTGCCAAAGAGATCATGGAACATACAGCACCAGTCAAATTATCGAAAGTCCATCGCAGTGATGGTACACTGGTCATGCCGCCAGCGTTCACATTCCAGATCTTGAAAGCCAGGTATGACATGGCTGGGTATCTCGCTGGTCTTGAAGCGGGTTGACTGAAGAAAATTCTAGGTTTGGCTACTGAGTATGTTTTCTGGACCGACAACGCGCTCTAAAAGCCTTGATGGACTCGATTGCACAGAACGACAAGATGCTGCCCAACAAGACCCTGCCCAACAAAACCATGCTGCGGATTGACCAAACCGACTCCGGCGTCAGTGTGAATTTTGAAGACGGCACCTCCTACCACGGTGACGTGGTCGTTGGCTGCGATGATGTCAATAGCAAGGCATCGACTCGTATTGAGATGTGCCGTCTTGCCAGCGAGAAGAATCCAGACCACTTCCGAGTGATGAAGGAGACAAGTATGTGCGCAGACCTGCGGGGAAAGAACTGGGGTTAATGACTTTCCTCTAGGAATGAGTGCTGAATTCAACTGTCTCTTCGGCATATCTGACCCCGTAGACGGTGATCGGGCCAAGATTGCGGGAATCTTTAATATTCCCTTCTCGGACATCGACGTCGAGTTGCCGATGTTGCGCTATGGCGTCGATTCTCTTGTCGCCGTGGAACTGCGCAACTGGCTGAGCAGCGGCGCAAAGGCTAAAGTTACTGTCTTTGACATCCTCCAGAGCGCGTCGCTGAATGAGTTCGGTGCGTTGGTGGCGAGCAGGAGTGAGGATTTGATTTCCAGGGATCTACCAGCGTAAGATTGGTAATCGTACCTAGCGACCTTGGAATGTACTTGATCAGATAAGCCCTGGAGGCAAATTAAGATGACATAACCGACCTGCGGCGGTCTGTACAAAGCCCTCACGTCTTCTCTTCCCGAGAGAAACGCTCAACAGACTTAGTTTCTGTTACACCTTTCATCTTAGCTTCATCTACGCTAAGGCTGTGTCGTCATAAGTACTGTATTGAATTAAAGAAAATTTATCACAGTGATATGGTCGTTTTGTCCAGTGCTATCAGACGTATGCAATATTTTCTACCCGCGATCTTTAGGCCGTCTAGTCAGACTCTTGATTTCGTCAGGGAGAGAGCGAGAGGTCTCTCGCTCCCATCTCGAGGTGAAGTTGATGAAGTTCAGACAGGCAGACTTCTGTGAGGGGAAGGTTTTCCTTGTTGTAACATAATCCTCCGCAAATGATTTTAAGAGTTGCGGAGTTGGGTCGGGTTCGTCTCTGGAAAAGTTGGCATGGGCCGCTTCGTCTCCAGAAAGTCTCCATCTGCTGATTGTTAATCGTAGCCGTCAACTGCAATTAGACAACTTATAGGGCCCAGCTTAAGACGGAGTTCTCATATTTTTCGACCGTAGCGGGTGCTAGCTCTTTATGGCGTATAATATTGTCCTTTTGTTCCCCCTCGGTCTGATACTCATGGGTGAAGCCACGTGATGCTCTGGAGATCTTCCAATATGAGCCAGTTTACCATATAAAACATATGGCAATGATGTGGCTGGGTGCTGAATAACCAAGGACGACAGTGCGGTGTGGTGATCCACGGTATTTTACCCCATCTAACTTGAAAAACTTTTCGCTTCGGATCCGAAAGGTGGTTCGATGGTTCTATCCATCGTTCTAGCCAAACGCAATGTCTCTAAGAACAAGGTGGCAATTTGCATCCAGGCCATCTGCCTCTAGGAACCGAAACCAAAGGTTCTCATGGTACTTATCTAGCATTCTAATGACAAGAATATTTCCACAATATATATTTGGCCTGTTTGGCTTTTGCCGCTCGGAGCACACATGAATACCGGATCCGAGCGCACCTGGTCTAAGCTGTAGCTATAATTATCGTCCCTGTTGGAGTTTTCTTATAAATCGGATAAATAATCGTTTAGTTCAGTTTTCTGATGCATATCACTTCCACCGACATTACCATCTATTATTGTCAACGGGGGCTCCATTTCGCGAAGTATCTAGGCCGTATTTCGGCCCAACCAAGTCTTCAGTAACGACCCGCATTGAAGATACGAAAATGGAACACTTTCAAAGGCTTCCAGGGTCTATTGTGATCATCGGAGCTGGCACTCAAGGCAGGCGGCTTGCTTATATGGTGAGTGATGATATCCAGCATCAATTATTTTATTGATATTAAGCTACCCATACTATTTAGTGGTCGAGCAGAGGCGGCTCTGTTTCCCTGGTAGACTTTCAAGAGCAACAGCTCCATGACAGCGTACAGTATGTACAACGGCTTCGTGATATACATGCCGACCGGGAGAAGAGTTGGGGAGAGATTGGAATTTCTTACCCGAATTCACTAAAGACTACACTCAAAGACGCATGGCTAGTTATGGAAGTATGATGCGGTTTTAATATATCAAAGGATGATTTTTTAACCTTTTTTGCAAACAGTGTGTGCCAGAAATCTTACTCCTGAAGCAAAAGGTGATTGCTCAACTTGACGATCTTGCCCCTGAAGGCACCATAATTGCTTCAAATTCCAGCAGCTATGGTATCTCGGAAGTGATAGAAGGGTTGCAATTGAAGAACAAGAAGAGGGTACTGAGCGCGCACTGCTGTATGTGATCGTATTGCTGCCCCAAATCAATGACCAGAGCTAAATTATTGTCGAGCATATCAGACTGGCCGCCAGAGACATCAGGTATTATTCTTACGGCCTTAAACATTTGCCTTGAACCAAAAGGAAACTGACTGTGGGCTTCCCAGCTATCGAAATCATGGGCCACAAGGATACCAATCCTTCCCTTATTACCCTACTCCTAGAACAATCCAAAGCACATGGGTTTTCGCCTTTCCACGTCAGGAAAAGCTCTATCGGGTACATATACAACAGGTAAATCGGCAAATACTGGCTGCGCTCATATTTGGTGATATTGCGAGACTGAATTACTTCAATTTTGCAGGATCTGGGCCGCCATCAAACGTGAAACACTCCTAGCTCTTTCCGAGGGAGTTTGCACACCCCAGGAGATTGATGCAATCTTCAAAGATGTATTGAAGACACCGAAAGGGCCATGTGAACAGATGGATGTCGTTGGGCTGGATGTTGTGTTGGATATTGAAAACCACTACGCAGAGTCCCGGAGTGGCATCCCTACTGAGCCGCGAGAGTATCTCCGAAACATGATCCAGTATGGGCGTCTGGGTGTCAAGAATGGTCAAGGATTTTACAAGTACACCGATGCACCCAACCAAATGCCTAGAATTTGATAATTTGGATGACGCAATGTAGATTAGGCTTGTCAAGAGAGTTTGCAAAGGTGTCTCCGTTTTTAAAGAGATTCCTCCTCTATTTCCGTCAATTTATACGAATTGGCGCGAGAAATCGCGTGGTTTTGAACGCCGCCTCCGCGGCGGCGTAATGTAGCCTCGGCATATTAAAACGGCGCGCCACTTCACGAATTGAAGAGATTCCTTGACTCTTAAAAGCCTGGCTAACTAATAAGATCCTACCCTCCTGCTCTATTGGATTTGAAGAGGATCGGGAGCGAATTGGTGGCATGGTGGGTGGTCAAAGAAGGAGGGTTTACATTAATTGACGCGTTTTGGGTTGGGTGCGTCACTCGCTTACCGAATACGTTAGTTAATGCAGTGGATGTCTCGCTCGACAGTGTATCTCCATTATTGACGAAGGAAGCTTTGCGTTGTAATTAGAGGAAGATTGCCTGTATTTCTTCAGACAGGAAACTTGATGAGTTATATACAGCATGCAACCTCCTTATTGATTTCAACCCAAGCTGGTAATTCCGTGCGGTCAGGAATTGATTCCGGTACAATATGATATATCATAACACTCTGAACCTCGTAAGCCAGAAAGTCGCTCTGATTTTGACCAGATGACAATCTTCCATGTTCGACAGCCACCGAGATAGAATAACTGGCGAGCCTCTGCGCCTTAACAAAGCAAAAAGTGGGCGACAGTGATATAAATCCCAAGGACGGGGATCAAGGCCGACAGTCACAGACCCTGACACGCCCCATGGTGCACGACCAAAACCTGGACTTCAGCGACACAAAGTTTAGCAATGTCGCATCACATTCAAGCAGCCCCAGTAATCAGCTAAAACCCTGTTGTCCAAGCAATGCCGATTTGACCCAACTGTTGCTAGCCCTGCTCATATGGTAGAAAGGGAATCAGAAATGCGGGGAAATCGGATCCGATCCCCAAATTTCTAGACGCCTCCATGACACATCATCACCAATTGATAGGGTGTGTGGAATTCAGTCGAGCCCAAAATGAGCTCCTGGATACTTTCAGACATTGACCTTGTTGATTTTATAATTTAATTCAACGCACTGGGTAGATGCTGCCAAGCCATCGGATCCGACTAGGGTCCAGGACCGAAGTTCTTGACCCGGGAAACGTGTGCAGGCGTCATGAACTGCACATCTGGTTTAAGTTTACCTCCTGTAATCTGCTTTAACATGGATTAGTCGTTTCAGCTCGTGGTAGGTTCGACATTAGGGTCTCTATGTGCCCTTTTGTCGCCATCGGCGAATTTCCTCGTCGGAAGTTTGCGGCAACTTGGATCAGGCAAGGAGAGATATTTTTCTTCAAAAAGGCCCTTGTCTCCATATATAATCTTAAGAAATATCAATACGTAGAAATGAGCTCATATTTTGAATCTTTCTACGGTTTCGAGGTCCCATGCCTCCCAGAAATGGAGAAAAATCAGAAAAGCCTTCGACAACTGAAAAGTCTCCATAGAATACAGAAAGCAAATACTGATTACAGTTTACATTCAATAAATGCAGGCTTTGGATCATGTGAAGCTTGCTATACGCGGAGAAGGCGTTGTATAGCTACTCTGACCTGTCACCAGTGTGTCTATTGTTTCAGAGAGCACCAGACTTGCTTACGAAGGCAGCGTCCAGCTAGGTACTGGTTCCACTTCTCAAATCAGTGTTCTACAGTAACAATATTAATCTGTCTATTCAGGCTAGTTCAAAAATATACAGCCGAAACCACCCACGATCAGCCCTGTCGCAAGTTTGATTTACCGCATGGCATCGATCACGAAATCCCGCGATGGAGCGCAGTATATTCGATGTTCTCGGAGATACTGCGATTAATTCCCCCTAAGGAGAGCGAGCCCAGGCATAAACGAGAACGTGCTTATGGAAATGACGAGCACAATTCCGGCTGGGAAAAGAGTCGTGGAGCCTCCAGTCACCTACCAGGCTCCCATACTCCCACCCAAGAGGCTTGACAGCATTCAAATACGGTGACCGATAATATGAATGGTGCAGATTCAGCCTCAAACGTTCTATTTATATCGGAGTCTTTCAGAGTTGGCAAGGGGACTAGATCAACAACTCCTAGAAGCACCAACTCCAGAGAGTTCTTAGGCGAACTGGATGCATTGCTCAAATTTTGAAATACAGCACTGCAAGCCATCAGAATACACTTAATTCGTGCTATGTGGACCTCAAATTTTGCTCTAAAGCCCAGGAAAAATTGCATTCACCACCATATAATGCCTACGCATATTGGGACCTCTTCGCTTCTCATAACAAACCACATTCCTCTCAGTCTGCTTCAGAAAATGTCGTTCCCATATCAGAAGAAATATTACTCACATATTATGAGTACTTTAGCCCAACTTATGAACTATACCCACTTGGAAGTGGTAGCGAAACAGCTTTATAAGGTGTGAGAACATCAAAATCAGTAATAGCTAGTGTTGCAACGAGTGGGGATTCTCTTCGAAAGGGAACCAATCAGTAGAATTGACGGATTGAATCGATTGATTGATTAAAGAGTGGCAGGCAGATGGTATGTTAAATACAATCTGCAGAATTGGTTCATAGTTGATATGTGGATGGGACCAATTCCTCCATGTCTGAGAGGACCCAATACTCGAAAGTTACAGTACTTGTAAGTTTTGTCTCAGAGCCCCGTAATTACATACAAAAGACAAAGAAAGGCGGGGGCGTGGGGAAACCAATAGGAGGCAGCGGTAAGTAACCGCTCCACTATCCTCGACATAAGGCGTAACTCTTTTAACCATGGAGACTTGCAGGCTGCGCTAGTTAAGGGGCAAATTATACCAGCCGAGCCGAAAAGGATTCTTGGTTAGCAGTTTAAAATTTCTGATGCTCATCACTTTATATATACTATTCGGTTTACTAAATAACAGTTCCAATTGCACCAAGATCACGAATGCAGTGACTATTACAGTCATGTACAAAGGCAATTAGGAGGCTCTGTATCTTACAGTCTAACCTTGGTGGCTTTAGGACCAGATTCTCCTTGTGTCTACAAAGGAATGTGTTATTTTCCTGCGAATTTCGGTGAGCTGGGAGGTTAGTATATGGCACGGGTGCAGAACCAGTCTATATGAACAGGATGTCAAGTGGTAATTTGGTGTTAGGTTCGGGGTAAATATAAAAGGCTGCTGGATGTTGTCTGAAACCTCACGAAGGATAATTCTAGTTTGAATCCATATTAGCCTGTCTCCTTTTATCCGGGGACTTAGTCAAGCTTATTATTCTAATACCGCAGCTAAGTCTCTGCTCCCTTGTACTTTGATGCGGGTATGCGGACGCAAATTTCGGTTCCATCGAGGCCAATTGTAGGCCCAAAGCCAGAAATCAAAGTGGTATGACATTGAACTAAAAACGTTGTCAGTAGGGAGATGTTCTACTGAGTGGGTTTGTCTGTAATGGTCGGATTGGCTCCTTACCCCGGCTAGCACGCGGGGTTCGACTCTAACCGGCCCACCTCCCGCTCACAATCCATTCATCCCTTCATAGAACCGACACGCAGTCCATCAACAACTCTGGCTATGCATACCGATCCGATTCATCGTCGCAAGCAATTTTCCAGCTGTGACTCATGTCGCAAGTCTCGCGTGGCCTGTGACGCCTTCCGAAGGGCATCCACGGCAGGAGAGACGAGCGTTCCCACTTGCAGCCGGTGTGCAAGCCGCAACCGACACTGCAGCTTTGAGGTACGGACAGTTATTTCGATTAAATATTTTACATTAGCCATTATTTGGCAGCTATTTTGTTTCTGACCTCAAAATCAACTTCAGTGGATGAGAAGAGTTGCTTCCAGGCCAGACAGATCAAACGCCTCTTCGGATCACTGGAATCGGCTCCTATCACCGCCACTTGCGTATCAGGATGACCAGGATTTTGATTTGAGCCTGACCCCTCAGCCTGACAACTTTCCTCAGGGACCCTCTGTCAATAGGTAAGATCCCATCAACCCGCAGGTGAGATTTAATCAAACACTAATCGTCGACGAACCAGGACGGACAGTCACACAGCCCACAGTGACTGTCATGGGATACCTATGTCTATTTCTACGCAGATTATAGACACAGACGTTACGGACTGGCTTCGAGACATGTATGAAGGTGTCTTTGAGGAGGTGTTTGGTTCCTGGCTAGGGAATTACAGCTGTCCATTTGCGTGAGTAGCGGGAACTGATGTCGTGAATATGAGTACTGACACAGTGTCAGTTTCGGAGAGAACGGCCATTTGGAAAACACCCCACGTGATAAATCCGGACTCTTCTTATCTGTTAGCATTGCTTCTCTTTGTAGGCAATTTGACCAGTTGATGATGGATTTGGAAAGGCAGGGGGAGAGTGGATCGAGGATTGCGGCAACAACACAAGAGGATTTAGCGAAGGAGCGTGATATTGAAAACACGTTGAATCTAGCCATTCAAACATTCTCCGCTCGGTGGCTGCCTCATACCTTCCATTCGGCCGCCCAGAAAGCGGCACAGACCTGCCTGATCCAAACTCTTTGGCGAGGACTTCGAACGGACCTGCCCAGGTCAATGAATCGTCCCTGCTACCGATCGATGCTTAGTTTATATCTATTCGCGATGGTTCCAGTACCAGTTGGCATTCCAGAGGAAGAGGAGGAGAGTGGTGTGCCTGCTGAAGTATGCGTCCAAGCTGCATTACAACAAGTGCAATATATACGTGCTCGTCAAAGAAGCCTGGAGTTCAATGGCTCCAAAGTCTCCCTTCTGACGGATCAAGCAACACTCATTTCCACCCCAGATAAGGTTCGGAACGAATTCATGAATATCGAGAGCATGATCTATTGGGCCGCACTCACCTTCGACACCTCGGCTTCATTGACGTTAAATACTAGATCTGTGCTTTCTTCGGGGCTGCTAGGATGGGAGTCAGAAGCATCCTGGCGTATGGTCAAAACCTGCACGAAAATCTTTCATGAACAGTCAGAAAGTTGGCGCACTCATGGGGTTTTGATTACTGAAGAAACTGCCAATCAAATCATTGCCGCAGCTCAAGCATGGAAGCTCCGTGTTTGGAAGACGGGCGCAATTCTCAAAGAGGCTCTCCGAGAGGGACACGAGGAGCATGCTGTGCAGCACGCATACACATGTGCGGTGGAGGCGATTCAACAATTCGATAGTACGTACCGTCCCTTGCTGGCAGCATGCGAGCGACGGCTTCAGTTTTTATCTCAGCATACAAAGCTTCGCTGGTGTAAGTGATGTCTTCCCTCGTGAAGACTATATTCAACTATTTCTCTACTGCTTGAAGTCTCTAATTCTCCTAATCGACAGACGAACTAATGTTACATCACCACCTTTGCATTTTGATCATCATTGATGCCGTTGAAATCGCAACTCGGGAAGACATTTTGCAGCAGATGAGTATTACAAGGTCAGAAGCTGAAGGTAGTCTATTGAACTGCCTGCAGTTTGGACTTAACAATCACTTCACGATACCGACACGCAAGGGAGAAGATAGCAGAACTGGTTCTTTTCCTTTAGTTGCAATCGATCCATATCCTCACCATGTCGTTGCCAGTGTGCAACTTCTGTGGAAGGGAATTGAGCGGGACTATGAACATAACAAGATGGATCTCATTACTTGTGAGAATTTGCAGTCAATTTTGATACAGACGTTGAAACTGCTTCCGCAGACCTCGAAGTCGGTTCGGAAAGCGACCGAGCAGGCCCAACTTACCTGTGTATATAGTTAACTAATGGAGTGGGGGAACAGCAAATGCGGAAATTGATGCCTCAGGCCCTCTATCAGCGAGCGACCTCAGGGAGCTGGCATCTGCAGGATCAAATGTTTGGCTTCAGCGCTGCATGCACTCGAAGAGATACACACTCCTTCAACTACCCAATATGACTACAGTTTTTCAGTTTTCTTAGCTTCAGTATACAGCCTCAGGTTCAGCGTGATCCACTGCTTCATCTACGCTCTTATACACACCTTATACACACCTTATACACACCCTGGTACAGACACCAGTATAGAGGAGTCGCCAGTATAGGGGAGTGTTTAGTTGTGTGCCTTCGTCGAGATCGACTAGTCTACTTGCCAGACTGCTATGGTGCCATTCCCACTTCACTAGTTATAAATTGTATGGTGAGGGATAATTCCCAAGTAATTCCCAATTCAGACTATTATTGCTTGCCGTTCGTCACTGCACCGTAGACCCACAGCTGCCGACAAATACAGGGGAAAACTAGCACACACTGAATGTGCCGAAATTGGGCGATTTATATGGGAAAAGGTGCTGGAGCCGGAAAAGTGTCACTTCTGGGCGTGCCGAAAAAGGAAGTTGACTGTACTACAGCGACAGTAGTGATAGCCGCTCGCATAATATCACAGTAAACAGGCTCATGCAATTGCAGCAATAGATCCCCATCTCCATAAACTTGACTACAATTTGGTACACTTCAAGGTGGCCTGGGGATGTGAACAAAAGTCTTGCCGAGAACCTCGGCGCGTAACGACCTGCATGCGATTCTTTAGTGTAAGAGCATTATTGGCCTTCTTGCATTGATGCACCACCTCTAGTATATGAAGAATACAGGAAGAGTCAGGCCCAAAAGACGAACACTTTGTTCTATGCGAAAGATCCGTACACATTGCCCTATTCCTCGGCAAGCTTGATGTTTACTGTGCAATTACGTGATCTGCCCCTCTCAAACTTCTTGTATTGACGGCGCAACGACTGCTCCAAGTAGGAACCGTCGATTGGAGAGAAGGATACTTTACCGCCAGCAGCAGGGTGATTCAGCAGACACCGAATCGCCTAACTATCTGTTTTATATAGTAATTCGGGTTTTCTCGGAAAAAAGCACTGTGTCACGCTAAGCAACCCCTGAACAGATGGGCATTCGGAACAGGGGCTTACAGATAACTTCTTCAACTAATCGGTCTCTGGGATGATTTAATTTGCCCTCACAAGTACTAGTCGATACCGATATCCTGGACTCTGACAAGAATGCCAGGATGAGAAATTGATGTACTGGCTAGTACTGAACATGTCCAATAGAATCAGATGATTTATTGAAATTGTCGAGATCGGTTGAGCGATCTCAGGGGTCTTATAGTCGAGCTATGGTGTGTTATGACACCATACTTCCGATCTCACACGAATAGTTACTAGGGGGAATTGGGTGAACGATGAATAAGCCTATCCCGAAGGCTCCTAGGTATTTGACCGCTCCCTCAGTTCGTCAAAGAACCCTAGATAAAGGCAAAGCCACCTACTCAAGGTTGGTGATATGTGACTGACATCTCATAACTAAAGCATGTATCGGAACAGTGGGGACCGATCACCGAGCTTCACCATCTGCATCGTATCATATTGAGTTAGGTCAATTCGGTCCCGTTTGCTATTGATGTTCTGGTACGACAGACGCAGGACCACGACGGCAATGATACCTGCTACGCAGAACCCCAACTCTAATGCGTGACCCAAGATATACTTCGGTGCATCCTGTCCGCGGTAGAAATTTGACGCCATTGCTATCGAATAAGTCAGTTTAACTGTCTCGCAATATGAGTCTTATGCAGAGTTGGAATGTACCTCCAGCTAAATTTCCCAGACCAATATGTAGTGCCATACCAGCTGCACGTTTGTAGTCACCGGCGAGGTTGACGCTTAGCCAGGTGACGTTTCCGGGGAACGCAGGATAAATTCCTAGGCAGCACCACTCGTATTAATAAGACGGGATCAATGCCTCCATTGGGGTTCCACGTACCGACAACAGCGATGAAGACGCCGAAATAAACGACCCCAGGAGCCCCCCGACCTGTTGATGCAAGGACAATGATGAATCCAATTGCAATCAGACACATAAAGAAAAGGATAAACGGGGACCGTTGCTTCCGTCGATCGGACAACCAGGCCGCAACGACAGCGACTACCGCGGCTGTAACATAGATGGGCACAGTAAGTAGTTGCGCTACCGATGTGGCATAGCCCAGGTCCTTGATGATGGAAGGAAGGAAGAAGGAGATTCCATAGAGCGGGCAGGTAATACCCCAATACACTAAGCGTGTGTTAGCAAGCATGATTGTTATCGATACCTGACGATCTCGTACTGAATATAGCAACATAGACCTGCCAATCTACCAATGCATCCAGCACGTAACGGAAGCGGAATTTGGCCTCCTCTTTGGCTACACCCTCGCTAGGCATATCCCCACCCGCTGTCTGGGACCTTAGCATGTGAATTACCAGCCTGCGCTCATCCTCTGTCAGGAATTTTGCCGTCTCGGGGAAGTCGTAGATTGCGAAGGGAGCGACAAACGCGACGACCACCGTAAGGAGGCCTTCGAGAATGAAGATCCAGCGCCAACCAGCGTATCCCCCAACACCGTCCATTTTCTGAAAAAAATCAGTACATGGGACTCAGAGAAGGTGGTCAAAGTAAGGGAACGCACAGCAATGGCATATGCCAAGATTCCAGAGAAGGCACCGGCGATACTGGCCGCACTAAAGAAGAGGGCCTGGCGATACTGAGCACGATGACGGGGATACCAGAGCGTGATATAGTACGCAATTCCAGGATAAAGACCAGCCTCTATACGATTCCAAATCTATTGTCAGCAACAAGGTGTTTTTAGCCACGCGGATCCAGGAAATGTCCACTCACCAGCGACGCCGAGGAATAGGCGTGCAGTCAAAAGTCCAGCGTAATTTTGAACAAGGCCCATTAGTGTCTGTCAATCATCCAGTCATGGCCATCAGCTTCCCTGTAATTGAGACACGATGAAAGCAGACTTACCATAACAATGCCCCAGGCAACCATGAGCAGAGGCAGCCATCTCGAGGGCTTCAATTTCTTTAAGAACAAATTACTGGGCAGTTCAAATATGCAGTAGGTAAAAAAGAAGACCGTCACTATTTTTCTTTAGCTCGCTTGATCACACTACGCAGGGTATACAACGTGCGACATACAGCACCAGCTATATTGTTGTCCCGACATGTGTAAATCGTCGAGTAGTCCTTCAATTTTCGCATTCCCAATATTACCGCGATCGAGGAAGGCGAGCAAATACAAGACCCCAAGCATTGGGAGAAGCCGGATATCCATTTTGCGTAGGATATGCTGTTCCATTTCAGGAGTGTATGTTGGTGGAGATTCATCTTTACCCCCGGACTCTCTTTCAGCATACGGCATGGGCGAAGAGTTAGATCCTTCCACTAGGACCGTCGACGGTTTGTCCATATTGGCATTCATTGCGGAAGCGTGGTGCACTGAGGAAGAAGAAATGATGCAAAGGACGGTCGCGATGCAGATTAAATAGTTACTTTTCTTTACACTTTCTTACCTCCAAGAGTACCCCGCAAAACGCAAACCCCTGACATCCTCGCTGATCCGAACTTGGTGGACCGGCCGGGGGTGGGAATTGGGAAGCTTTGTGAGATGATGCGTTCAGAAATACTGCGAGAAACCTATCACTGCCATTCCTTGTACGGACGGGGTTACCGCAGCCGACTGGATGACTGCAATACGCTCGGATACACCAGATTGACGTTCCTTGCACCAACCAAAAACTCTCTGATCTCGGATCCGACGGTATAGGTTCCGATGTCATCAAATAATCAATAACTCCTTGATATCGGAACCGATAAAGAGAAAATTTTCCGGCCGTAACTTCGAAGGGAATCTGATCCTTCATGTAGGAAGAGGGATTTTTTGCGCCTCTAGATACACCCAGACAAGCGTCTGGCATGGTTGCTTTTCTGAGGCTCCGACGTCATTTTATCACATCGCCTTTCCTTAATCAAGGTCAATTGCTAATATTCTAAATTCAACCAGGTCACATTATTTAATCTGCGTTGCCGAAGCCGAAGTATGAAAGGTTTTCAGTGACCTGAAGGGTCGGTGGTGATATTGGTGCTGGCTGTCAGGGGCAGCGACGCGACTCATTGAATAGTAGACAACTGGGACCTACGGTTCCCGAAGCATTTGAAATTATACCTGCAAAGATATAAAGTAGCAAACACTTCAAAATTTGTCAAGTAGAGACGAACGTGTACTTAGTTTAATGTTAGTGAATACCAGCTCCTTTGTGCGGCCATACTTGCTCATCAGGAGGACTGAGGGAGGGGAAGACGTTTATGCCTGCCTCCTTGGAGTCTATGATTAAGCCCATGTAACCTCTCATGGTGGATGTCAAACTGTTAGGATTTGGTCTCGAGAGAAACATGAATATACCGGGCCGCACAGAAGACTTGAATTAGACGAGTCCCTGATTAGTTACATTAGGTTAGGAGCTTTTTACATAAATGCCTTTTGTCACTGCTTACTATGAACTTTCTTGAAACAGCCATTCTACTCCCTTCCACACGAAGATCTTTTCGAATTAACCCGAGAAGTTTGGAGTCAATTTTCGCGGCTCGCAGCCTTGGAAATCCTTTGACCTGTTGGTCGTATTCCGATATTTGCTTGTTTTTCTGCCTTCTACAACTGCAGGTTATGGAAATAGCATCGATTCTTGACAAGTAGAGGTAATCGGTGGTCAATAGACCGCGGAATTGTCCAGGGAGTGCTGTTCTATGATTCACCCCAGTCTTTTGATCTCAATATCAACATTTTGCGTGCAATTATAGTCTGAGGGTTGGCAATGCCACAAGCAATAATATGTCTCCTCTCTTGCCTAAGATACCTAAACCATCAAGTGAGACGTTTCATTTGATATCTACCACTTAGCCTTTTTGTATATTCGCTGAGGTGCACTCAATAGGGTTGGTTATAAAGCGACCTTCTCTATTCATACGGTCTCCAGGCATAACTACACGTAGCTATATACAGTTTCAGATAGAAGTGATCGTGTCTTCCCATGTTATTTCGCATTGCAGTTTTGGAACAACCTAGCTTAATAATCTGATACGTGCTATCGGTACGTGCCACATGCAGACTTGACTATTGCCATCTCAAAAGATTCCCATAGCTAGCCCGGTGTGCTGTGCAATATGATCCGTTAAAATCGAATGGGATGACTCTTGACGTGTACATCCTTAGCTCATGCAGTAACGTTATTGCCACCGGTGCTGGTGTGGTACCCGCTGATGATCTGGTTGACTTGGTTGACGATGGCAGTCATTTGGACTCCTGCACCCAAAGTTAGTAAAGAATAATATAGCACACTGTGATTTTCACTCACCTCCTTTCTGGTCTGCATTCTTGCCATACCAACCGACCCAATCCCAGCAGGCGTTGGGGTTGGGAAGCATGGTTCCACCCCAAACGGTATGAATTGAGTAGTCCACAACTGCCTGAGGGAAGGCAATAATGATATTATTCGTATCTATAATAAGAGATAATACAAGTCAGTAATTTAATATAGTCGAGAAGGGAATAGAATGTTGTATCCCTACCAGCCCATTTATTATAACCGGTGTTGTCGATAAATTTAGACTGAATCTGGCTGTGGCTCTGCAGGCATCCATGGAGCGCAACATGTAGCTTACAGACAGTGGAACCATCCTTACAAGCAGCGGGAACATACAGATAGCCGGTGCTATCCATGCCGCTGGCTCCAAAGGAGGAGCTCTGGTCAAATGCAATAACTTCACCTGACAAGGAACCACTATTGCGAGCGGCCAATTCACCATACATCCACTTGAGGACTGCACCTGCACCGTCATAATTACAGTTGCTGATATAGGGGGACAAGGCAGAGCCACACTGGTTGTCCCCTGAACCGTCAAAGTCGGTTGGAAATGTGTGGGCAGCACTTTGAGTAGTGATATAGGTGGTAGAAGCCGTGTCCGCAAATTTAGCCAGCTGTGCTTTCAGCTGACTCATGACATTAGGCCCTACTGTAGTGTCGGAGGTGCCAACTTGCATGTAGATCTTGCGGCTCTTTAAGTTAGCGACTGGGTCGATTTGGTTTCCACTCCATGATTCCATGTTGGAAGTGGGTACTGTAATGGACGGATTCCGATTGTACATGCACGTTGTGTACTAAAGTCAAAGCAGCGTTAACGGTGAGAATGCCATTGATGGAGGGGCAACCATCGCGTACATGCTGTGTACGAGCACAATCATAAGGCCCTCCGGCGAAGACGCCAAAACCGGTCTTAAACGTGTCAGAATAGGCCACCCCAAGTTGTGCTGCCATGAAGCCACCGCTTGAGAGTCCTGATACGGACACAGAATTGGGATCGACGTTGTACGCTCCAAGTGCGGCGGCAGACGCGCCGACAGCAAGTCCGGCGATAGGCAAGTAGTAAATGCTGGACAACATTTTATTGAAAGGAGAAAAGGTAAATTCAAATAGGATAGGCCAATTTCGATTTGCGAAATCAACTGGAGTGACAAAAAGGATACTGGAAAATCAAGGCACACAAGGTGGTATGCCCAAATTTATAACTCTGGACACACCACAGGGCTTGATGTTTAGTCTCCATAACCACTCTTGCATCAGGTCCGGGATATTCACAGACATTAGAAGACGTCTCTACAACTCGCATCCTTCTGTAAATTTACTGGTTGGAGGCGAAGCTACCTGCGCCCGTCCTTGCCCAGACCTCCCCCTCACTAAGGTTGGAGAAGAACGGATGTGAATCCGTGAAAATCAAGGGTCAACGGTTGCACTTCTTCGCGGAAGTCCCTAATCGTAATCAATGAAAGCTAGAATGACATCGGATCCGATATAAAGTAATATATAGGGGAAATGATACATCTAATAAGCACGGGATGAGGTCTAATGGACCTCGCTTCGTATAGGATAGGACCTCTCAAGGTAAAGTCTCGTCGCACTTCCCTAGAACCTCCATATTCCTTTTTTCCGCTCGTCCATTTTGAGCATCATCTTATTCTATCCGCAGAATATGCAGTCACATCTTGCCATTGGCTTCTATGTCCGCACAGATTGTTAGCGTAATCCACGGTTGGCCTGGTCACTCGAAACACCATAGTAAATGCGATATTTTACAGTTTGATATTTCAACACTGAAGGGTTTGTATAAGGTCGTAGGATATTCTAGTGCTGAGTATGTTATACTAAGCATGATTACCAGGTCGAGAAGTACTTTGAGGCATCCCGATATAGATATATATATGCCACCCGATCGGCGCGTATTTTTGGTAATGCAAGTAAATAATAATTTACTCTACCATCTCAGTTAAGCCATACTATTTCTTACTCTAAGAACCACTATCCTATCAAAAATCAAGTAGAGCCGACTTCTGGTTGTTGATATGCAGTGACCTGAAAAGTCGCATTTACTATGGTGTTTCGAATGACCGGGTGAACCGTGGACTACGTTAAATATTGCGGTTTTGTCATTTTTGTTAGAGTTCAATACCACTGAGGTTACCCATACATTGTTGTACCGCCAGATTTGTGTCAGCTTCTAATTCAGTCGCTGATTGCGGAATCTGATCCTAGGTCTTACTCTTTGCTATCTACGGCAGTTCTTAGTTCTTTGCCAAGATCCTAGGTCACTATCGCTGGGTTTTATCTATTGCTAATTGTACGTATAGTACGCAGGCCAATCAAATGAGCCCAGTTGGTCATATTGTTTCCACGATATCTGCTTCGATCCCTTCAGGTAATCCTCGAGAGCGAAGGATCCTGGTGAGAGCTTCTTAGGGAATCGTCGCGGGGTTTATAGTAGAAATATCGCCTCCAGGTATGGTAACCAGTTTACGTCCGTCAGCTGGCAAAAGCCGCGTCCGAAATGGTTCTTTATGGTATTCCCATGCCTCCGTATACAGAAGCAAATTGCAGTTTCTTATTCGTCGGCCTAATTGACCAAAATTATTGGCCAGCCCCGTCGCAGAAGGACGGGGCCCGCTGAAAAAGGCTAGAGCAGAACTCGGAGTTTTGTGGCGGCGTGTGGGGTAAAGATGAAAAGGTGAGCGTGGAGAAGCGAGATTGCAGAAGCAGAAAGAACCGGATCCGACGGATATTTTCAGGGTAACCTCGGAATGCAGAGGATCTGCTTTTCGGAGTATATTCCCGGGTCATACATAGGCGAATACCTTCTCGTCGTTAGCTTATCTGTGATCTAATAAACTTTCCTTCAGACTTTATTAGCACTTAAAGTGTTTTTGAGAAGCTGACTAAATGTTCCTAAAATATCTTTTTACATGGGCCGCAATATCTCCCAGACAAGGGTAGGGTAACCTTGGTGTTGAACTGAGCGACTTGCTTAGCAAAGAGCATGCGTGGCTACTCTTCATGGACCACACCATCTAACGGTACCCATTTCGGCATCATATGCCACTATATCCCGACCCCTTCTCAACAGCCCTGATAATCTTTTCGGATCCGATATTAAGGACTGTGTACTTTGTCCTACTGACTGGTGTAGTAAGCCTCGCAAAACCCCCTCTCAGAGCGCCATGAGCTATTTAATAGAAAGTAGAGTGTTAGGAACGCGCATATATTAGATGCGCTTATCCAGAAGCCCCTCCAGGCTACTCTTCTGACGGTTGTGGTTGTTAACTCTTATATCTAACTCCAGCAGGTGGATACCTTATAGTCTCGTTCAAGGTCCATCATGTCGGCAACGCTAGATCCTGTCAAGGGCTCCCTGACGATGGGAATCTTTTATCCCACCGCGAGAAGCAGATCATGACGAGGGTAGATATTTGGCTTATCGTAGGCGGCAGCTTAGGATACTCCGTGGACTCGATGGATTGGGGCAATATCGGAAGGGCAGCTATTGCAGGGTGAGCAACGAAGTTATCAATGTTCTATGTGCTCACAAGTGAACAAAGGAAAAGCATGCTTAAGGATCTCAAATTTGACGGATATCGCTATGTGCGCTGCGGTCCTTCTCGAAGAATTTGAAACCTAAGTCCTGGATTAACAACTCCTCTGAAGTCAGTCGTGGTCCTAATGTTCTTCATCACCTACATTATATTCCAGCCACAATCTACCATCCTGACCCAGAAAATCGGTCCACCGTATTTTCTGTCGCTAATTATCGTCTCCTGGGGTATTCTGATGCTGGTGAATTTGTATGTAGTATATCGCGGCACCTGTGTCACTCATCAACTGCGCAGGGCATGGGGTTTGTCAAGAGATGGGAGCAGATCCTCGCAATACGGATACTCCTTGGTGTCTTCGCGGTTGGGTATTTCCCGGGATTCATGTATTTGCTTTCCTGTTGGTATCTTCGTTGTATGTTCTCCTGTATACGCCAAATTCCCGAACGCAGAGTGATTTTCTCTCCGAATTTCAATAGATGAGGTCCAGAAGCGCTTTGCTGTATTCTACGGCGTAGGCTGTGTGGCACCAGCTTCAGCTGGTATCCTCGCCTTCGGTCTGATGCAGATGGATGGTACTCGCGGGATTGGTGGATGGTGGTGGATATTTCATTCTCGAGGGGGTGATTTGTCACCAACTGTCTTCCTGCGTACCAAGGAAATTGAAGATATCTAACTTTATCAGATAATGTTGGACTTGGTCTTTTCGTTTACATTTCATTGTCAACTTCCCCGGACAGAGCCTCATGTGGGAGGAAGTTCCTCACGGAAGAAGAATGTGCTTTCGTTGTCCGCCGGATCAACCATGACCGACTAAACGCGGAGGCAGAGGCGTTTACGCTTCGACGCTTTTTGAAACCAGCGCTTGATATCAGAATTTGATTGTTCTGGTGAATTGCCTAAACTATCTTCATCCAGAAATCCTTACTAACCCTTGTCAATCAAAAACATAGCTGTTCAACTATCAAAACCTACACTACAGCGTATTTCCTTCCAATCATTCCTTCTGGCGGAATGGGTTTTGGTGGCAGCCGCTCAATGTCTAACGGCGTCACCGTGGGTGTTTGC